ATGCTATTATTAATAGCATAACACATATCCCACACATACCATACCATGCCAGTGTCACTGAAGAACCACATTTGCAATGAAAAATATATCCTAAAATATCACATTTTAGCGATGTAATCGGCGGTCCCGCTACCCGAATCTGAAAAATCGAGTATCTTATGCGTGTCTGTAAGAAATATGGGTACCATAAAATGAGCTTTATTTCAAGTATTTTTCAGATTTAGAGCCCGATTTTGTGCTAGTCGCAAGCTCAAAAGTATCTCATCGCATGTATTAAATTAATGCAGCCGCACACCGCAACGCACACACGATATCTCTGTCTAATTCAGATTCCAATATCCGATCACCACAGTACTAGTTTTCGGCCTGGCGAGCTCCGGGGAGCTCCGGCGTGGGATATCTGCTCCGCCCGCTAGTGCTATAGATCAGCGCAGAAACGCACGGCGCGTGCGCGCGCTTCCTATTGACTTTGTACATGCGGCCGAAAACTGGTACGCTATGCCAAAAACTGACTCCGAAACAGTGAAAATTGAAATGAATATTGTCATGGCAATTCGTGATTTTTTTCTGGGATTCTTGTTTTGTTTAAATAATAATAATATTTGCTTCATGATTTGAGCAAAAAATGATAATAAATAGGAAGTAAAGGGTCCTAAAAATAGGATTTTGTCTGAAGTGGCCGAAAACGGGCTCCTTTACTCTACAATTGTCTGAAAATCAATACTATTACTTTTGGGCTCTATAGCCCTAAAGTCGATTTGACAACTAATAGACTCTAGTCGTTATTTTCCCACTTGAAGACATTTTCAAGCCCCACCTTTTTTAGGGGAGTTCTAAATTAGTATTATCTTTCAAATGCAGTTAGAATTTAACTTTTTCATTTTTTTGGCCTGCAAATGGTAGACCCCTACATAGAAGTCTAATACCTTTAATACATTGAATTGTACACAAAGCTGAAGTAAAGAATCCTCTCTTTTGCAAAGGCAAAGCAAAATTGACTTACTCTTGCATAGATTCTAAACTAGATGTAGATCGAGTATTCCAAAGAAAGTAAGTACTGCTATGACAATCGGTGCACAAATAGCGAGCTCAATTACGACAAGCGACCTGCAAACCACATTGGCCTACGTGTATAGCATGGAGACAACAGATAAGTCCACGTATGGTACACAACCAACCCGCGCGTCTCTGAGCTGAGCTGGGCAAATAAGGTACAGGTTGGAGTCAAAAGTTCGCTCATATCTCACTGTGCAAACAAACAAAATTACCTCATTATATGCAGATGATTTCATAAACTTACCAGACAGCGTGCTCATTCTCGCATTCAACTCCAGTTGTTGCAAAAGCGATGCTGCAAAATCAGGAGAACCGAGAAGTCCGGTCTCTCGCGCTCGAGGTCAAGGCAAGCGATGACGACAATTTCGGGTATTCCCCTTTTTGTGATGGTAGCGTAGTCTGCGCGATCAGGATTTTTCTGAAATTCATTATCCTTGACCCCCGGGGGAGGTACTCAGATTTCGTTTGAACAGGGGTGTGCCGCTGAAGCCTCGAAACCCTTACTCATTTTTAAGGGTTATTTTGGGGGATTTTTCTCGAAGTAAATCCCATTTTTCACAATTTTTGCGTGTTTGCAATGCAAACGCCCTGAAATTTTTGAAAAAAATGGACCCATGTTTAGGGATATTTTTGTTAAAAATAGGACTCATGTTTAGGATTTTTTTTTTTAAATTGACCCATTAGAGCGGCACACCCTGTATGTGTAATATATGAGTCCCCCCCCCCCCCCCCAGGACTTGAACCAGTTCGAAGATGGCAGATAAAGGCTATAAGAATGACCCCCCAAATATCTGACACTTTTAAACATGGAGAGTCCCACTCTGTGCATTTTAGACTAATCAGTGCCAAAGTTTTGAAGGTGTTTAACTACGCGTTGATGCATACATGAATAATTACATAACATTCATGAACTAGTTAGGTATTCAGCATTCATCTCAATGAGTATTACATTTTGTACAAATGACCTTTATCTGCCAATGCGCAAATAGTGTGCAAAGTTTACAAGAGAACATGATATATTATGAATCCAGAAGAAAACAGAAAAGCTTGCCAAATGTTGGAGTGAAGCAATATCTCATTTCATCACTTGGGAAAAAGAACGTTCTTATATTCATGAAGTGGTCTATTCATTGTGTGCCAATCAAAACAAAAATTACCAAAGTCGGTTGGGAAACAGAACCTAATAAGTAAAAAAAAAAAAAAAAAAAAAAAAAAAAAAAAAAGAGTTAAGCTGTTATAGATCTCAAAATCTCAAAACAAAACATTTTAATGTTGCTTTAAATATATTAAACTCATTTTTTTTTAAATATTTTTTTTAGATATAACAATTAAGGGAAGCAGGAAAAAACCCTGAAATAAAGGTTTCACCTAAGTCTGCCATCTCTAATTCGTACAAACACCATATCATTTCAAAACAAATACACGTATGAAATCACAAAAATTGCACTAGATTATATTTCTTGTAAAAGTAAATATTTTATTATAGCCAAAAGAATTTACAGTAACTGTACATGACAGTGATCTTTCAAGACTAAACAATTCAATTATTGGACAATTGACACCGCATTACTAAAGGACATGATTTTGTAGGAATGCGTTATGAGATAACCAGTGAGAGTCTTACATTCAGATACCCAAGTATGTTTTAAGTGCTATCACTGATTTGAATATATGCAAACAATGATGCTTTAACTGAATACCTATACACTGTAGCAATGTCAAACACAGGGACATGGGACATGAGAAATGGAATAAAACTGGTAATATCAAAGAAATATCATCACAATTTCCTGTTACGCATTCCTTACTTGTTCAACTCAAAGTAGGTATTTACGTCATCAACATATCGAGTCAGGTCATGTGAAAAAATCCCTAGGCTACTACATAACATGATAGGTTGTAGGTGATAATCTGCTATAAAGCATGACATTAAGGATGTTTGCTTTCTCCTTCATATAATCAGTCAGTAATAGCTCAGTGCCATCATTTGTGTGTTTTCTTAAGCAGGGGATCTGGTAACTTTGTCTTAGATCCTTTAGAAATAATCCTTGATTTAGCTCGTGCTGCAATGATAATTATAAACCTTTAGGTCAGTCAGGAACTCCATGACTTTTACAAGCCGATCGCCTGTCTGATTATCAAGATATTAATGATTGGAATTACAAATTTTGAAAACCGTTCACCGAACGGTTTTCATAACACTACAGTCTACTGGGGAAAACGAGTATGGTAAAACCAGTCACTCAAAGATTTTTACTTTTTTGAGGCACTTCTTGATCATTTTGAAGCGCGATTTTTTTAGGGCTTCAGTATTACACCATTATCACAGACACTGGTAACATGTAAGACCGTGTATCTCAGATTTAACATTGTTAAACGATCCCTTTAAATCAAAGAATTAATCTGTTGGAGGAGAGGTGGTCCTTCTTTCTATCTTTAATATGAGCATATTTGGGTCAATACAATTGATATCACTTTACTTTACCGATACCAAGTATTCAAATATAAAATGCAGACAGCATGAATTAATATCTGTACAATTATTCTGCAAGAATGATTAGCATTCAAATTATGGTATCACTCCAACCGTAGAAGAGTGAATGTCTATATTGTATGTGTACCAAACACCATTACTTCAGCTCTTCCACATTTCAGCAATAGATTAAATCATTGTCTCACAAAATATTTTGTATCTTAGTATGAATGACACTTTAAAAAAAACTATGATGGAGATCTTATATACTATTTGTTGGAATACAAAGTACATTCATGCATCACATACTCTAAAGGCTTTAATACAATTATTCTCCAATATCTGTATGGCCTGCAGAAAATACCAACCATCCTAAAAAGATCTAAACAAAATGTTAGACATGGTTCTAAATGGCATTTTTGAATTCACAATTATTTTTCATGATAATCTAACAGACACAGTAACAAACAGTGATAGAAACAAAAACTGATCTAGACACTAACAACCGACACATGTGGTTACTTGTTACTCTTCTCTCTTTCTCTCCAGCTTAATTAAACAAGACAAATGCGACTGCGTCTTCTATATGCCGCCTCCTTAAATTTGGTATAGGAAATGGATGAAATTATTCATGACATAACACAATGAAAACCAAAGTCTATAAATTAAATGTCGAACGACCACTATGATCTTGACCTACTAGCCCCAAAATGTAATTGGATCATCTTCATATAGCAATTCTGTCACCATGTTTAGCTATTGCAATAGCAAGGCTAAACACCTATAACTTCATAAGTTGACCTGCTTTAAAGGTCCTACACAATGAGATACACATTTCCTGGAAAGTGCTGATAATGACTGGACAAAAAAACATTGAACAACAGTTAATACAAAGTAACATACAATCATACATGTCTTGATAATATACAAATACAAACCATGCCCAAACAATAATGATGAATAAAATTTACATGTACAATGATATAAAGCCTTGCATACAACCTTAATAGCATACAACTCTAAAGAAAGGCAGAGAAATTTCAGAAGTAGACCTTGTTTGAATGAAACCCGACCAAAAATATAGAAAGTTATGAATTTTCTGAAATTTGTAATCACTACCGGTATAAGTATCAGAACGTCAAATTGCGGGCTGAATCAGTAATGTCACTGTGATGTAGTGGCAGGTAACCTTCCTATTTGTTCCAACACAAAACATGACTATCATTTGATGTTTGAAGGTTTGCATGGTGGTATGAACAATCGCGGAAGAGGTTTACGGTACACCATGTGTAAAGTCCTAGAAGGACTAAGGAAAGTGGATAGAAATAGAAGTGAAATGGAAAGGCAAGAAAGTGGAGGTTGGAAGGAAGAGTATCTTTCGGAAGTGAGTATAGTCCTGAAAAGGACTGTAAACCAGAAAGTTGTAGACAGGATGAGAGGTTTGAGTAGAAGACTGGATTGAGTTGGAGAGTTGAGTAGATGAGAGAAGCTGGCTTGAGTCGGCGAGTAGAGTTGCAGAGCAGGAGCAGGAGAGTAGACTCGACGTTTCGGACAGGTTGACTGTCCGTCTCCTGAAGACGGACAGTCAACCTGTCCGAAACTGTTATTCGTCACTAGGTCACCATTTTGCCAATTTGAGATTTGCATAGCTGTAGTGATCTCATATATCAAACATTCATAAATTTCTTATTATTGGTCTAATTTATTTATTTTATTTTATTTTTCCACTTTCATTCAAATTATCTTCTAACATTGGTTGGATGGCCTTTTAATATTATTTTGTCTAATTTTATGTGGTATGCAAATCAAAACAATATTACATGTAGACAAATTTCTTGAAAATCTTTACTTAAGGATTCTTTGTATTGTACTGGTAATGAAGCAGTAAGGTTATTATATTATATATTATGGTTATGAAAATTACATCTAATCATTCATTTTTTAACACACATATGAGTATTGACCCAATTAGAATAATTACTCTGATTTCTTACAAATACTAGACTGCTTACAAAAAAGATCAAACATATTAATACCTGATTTAGCAATACATTTCCATAACAACAACAAAAAAGAGGAAGACTTATTAACAAAACAGAGTATACCATACATACCTAATACATACAGTGATTTACACCCATCTCAAAGGCAGTATGAATTATCACGTTCTCTTTAATATAGAAGGATGTAAACCTTAATAACCTGATGTTTTTTTGCAAACTCTGGGTCAGAATTATTTGGTAACATGGCATGATGAAGCTACAGAACAAACAAAGAGATCTAACACTGAGGAATGACTATGTCACACAATGTCATGATAATTACAAACTTTGAATTACATTGAAGTGAACAACATTGACAAACGTAGATAAATATCTTAAATTTCCAAACATAATGAACTGAAGTTCACACAATTTTAAGTGATACAAATATAACTGTCTTCACCAATAAGCAGCACTAATTTTTGCAAATATAATATTTCAATATTGGCAGTATTAAGCATGAGACGTATTGGTTTGGCTATACTCTTAGCACCAATTGACAAAAGGTTTATGAAACCACAAGACCAATACATTTTGCCTTCAGGACCTTCACAGGCTTTCTACTCTTCTTAGGATTCATTAGATCAAAGATCTGTTACAGCTAAAGTGAAAGATGAACTAGAACAAGACCAAATAAATGTGCTGGCAGTTTCATCCTTACTAACCATGATAAGTTCCCAAAGTATAATAAATGGATTTAAGGAATGACTGGTATTTTATTCTCAACTGCACGAAAAAGTCCATAAAGGACTTTGTTCAAATCTTTTATTATAGGGGATACATGACAAAAAGATCTCGCACCAACACTTGAGGAATTCCTTGTGAATCCTTTGACACTTCTTTCAAAAACACTCTCCTCTCCTGGACGCCAACCTGTACCTTCTGAAGACAAAGGTCAATGGAACGCGTGAAATCAGTATGCACAATCCAGCGGTACCGATCATACATCTCTACAAGGATGTCAAACGCTGCTGGCTGTGTCCTCTGCATGATGGTGTGTCCAGTGATGCCCTGACCAGGATGGCTCATGGCCATGTTCTGGATTCCACCAAAGAGGTGTCTCAGCTTCGGGTTGAGGATGACATCCTGGAGAGTCTGTCCAGGCGCTGCAGAGATCACTTGGATACCTCTTTCTCTGGTCGCATGGACTGCCGCAGCATCCGCTTCAGTCACGACCTCGTCAATGACAAGGGTGTGAGGACTGTGGTTGCGCACTATTTCTCGTATCATGTTCGGCTGTGAATCACGGTCAGGAAGCTGTACAAAGTAGACAAATATGATCAGGGTTGTCAGAACTCAGTACAATCTCAATGAAATGAACTGTATGCAAAATCTCCAACATAAGGAGCGTTGGCGATGGTTGATAAAGATCTCAGAAGGAAAATATAGGTATTCATTGTGGTACATAGCATACAAACTGGCAAAAGGGACTTTTCAGTAAACTGTTTGTAAGTACCTTCCCAGGGAATGGAAAATGTGCATACATTGTGTGCAGGTAAGCCTGTATCTGATGACTGGGGTAATAATATATCTGTAAAGCCCCTAGGCACATTGCTGTATCGATGTAATGGGCGCTATATAAAAGTGGAATATCATTATTATTATTATTATTTCTTGACAAATATAACTGAAACACACTAGGGTTTACAAAAACAAACTTCAGCAACAAGAAAAATCAGGCAAATATGACATAATCTAGACATGGCTTTGATGGAATAATGTGATATGAAATACTACTCCTTCAATCTAGTACACACAAGACTCTAATACCCTGAAGTCAATGCATTTTTACATACCTGAACACGCCTTGCCCCTCCTACAGCAGGGTGTGGTACATCCCCATCACCAGCAATCTGCACAACAACAAAAATATCATTAGATCCCTCATCCTGTTGTCTATCACGACTCAACTCGGTATCTACCGGTAAATACATTTTACTTAAAGGGATAGTTGTGTTCTGTTGCAGAGGGCGCTGCACAAAATAATTTTTTGAAACTGAATGTCAAATTTGAAAAAACATAATATTTAAATGACAAAATCATCTTTGTTTGATCAAAATCGGTTCAAAGACGGCTGAAATATAACAATTTCTAATACTTGTGTATCACCACAAATATTAGATATTTTGAAATATTTGAAAAAACCGTTGAAAAAACCGGAATAACGACTTTTACGTCGTATTTCAGCCAATGCCGATGATGGCTTTTTTGTTGGCATTTTCGGGTTGCTTTTATTACCCACAATTAGCCGGCCCATGTATTGTTATTTTTAATTAAATAATTAATTAACGGTCACCATGTTTTTTTGAAAGTGGAGCTGAATGGGTATGATCGTATTGGCTAAATTTCACACATTTTGGGGTCTAAGATTACCTTCATAGCAATGTTAGGTTCTAAAAGGGCACTAGAAATGTCATAGATAAGAATAAGAGCAATAACTATGCACTTTGAAGGCATTTGCGGTCTGAAAACAGAACTTGACTATCCCTTTAAATAAATGAACAGGAATATGCAAATGCAAACTTTTCAATAGCTTTGCAGACTGTAAGATGTTCTGATCACCTGTCATATCAATTTCATCCATAATCAATTTAAAACATTCACTACAACTACTAAAAAAAAATCATCTACAATTTTACATGCTTTAATCATGTTCTTACTTCATGAGTTGCAATGAAAGTTTTATTTTCAATTCTAAAATAAAATCACTATTTACTTTGAATATTTATAGGAACACATTTAAGTAGACTGAGAAAAAAAGGTGTTGCAAAGTGACAAAGAGAGACAAAAAGTCAGATAAAGGGGAAAAAAATAAAGGGGGAAGTACAAAGAGAAAAGAATAGAGAAAAACAACATTGCACAGAAGCAGAAAAATGCATATGTATTGTTATTATAGATGACCTATTAAGGAAGTACGAACCTCATTGCATGTATCAACGATGACCACACGCCTCATCACAACATCATTTATCACCCTGGCTGCTTCCCTCAATATGGTACTCTTTCCAACACCAGGACTCCCTACAAAGAGAATGGACTGTCCCTGGTTCATGAGGTCAAAGAGAGGGGTCGCACATCCTAGGACCGCGTGCTTAGTGAGAGTTGTGAGACCTATTGGTTCATTTTGACGATTGCACATAATCCTGCAAGGTTAAGAGATAAAATAATGATAACATAAACTTGGAAGAAGGATATCACTATGTAAAGATGTGTCTTATGAAAAATGTATCACACTATAAGCCAGTTCGTAAATAGCTTTTGTATGCATTACCCCAAAATATCCACAGATCTTTTACACAATGGATATGTCCCACTTGTGCTTTTTAGAATAATCACTGCCGAAGTGACGGAGGTGCTTCATGAACACCTTTTGTTTGCCTCTTGAGAAGAATACTTCCACCTGTGTATCAGATAAATGTACTGTCGGTGCATAAATGAACTGATTACATAGCTTTCATGAGCACGGTACCAGTATTTGTCTCAATGGATTTTACAATTTGGGAACAAATCACCTTTATCTGCCCATGCGCAGATAGGATTTACGAACTGGCTTTTATGTTATTGGACCCTCACACCTCTGAACCAATTAAAGTACGGGGGTGTATTTCACAAAACATTGTTTTAAATAGTTGGTGCTCATTTAAGTTCTATATTAAAACTGCAACCATCTCATAGAATTCACATTACTTTATATGTAATCCTTCCTCTTACCCATTACATATCATACATTATACAGCACAACCAACATTTGGTAAAATGGTGGCTGGTAGGAACTGATTCCTTGGGAATACTTTTCAGCTCCTTACGGAAGCAGGGTTAAAGCTATGGTAATAATAGGTAATAAATTTGGAAGTGGCTTGAGCATCTCCAACCATCTGTGGGAAAAATATATACACAACATTAATGTGGATGTTATCACTATTATCAATCAAGTTACATGTATAATATACCTACCCCACTCTATGAAGTGTTTCTTTGATAGTAGACCTATGATCACTTGATACCGGTGAACAATGTCCTTCTAAGATGTCTTTGAGATCTTGCTTCGTGAGTTTATTCTCACCAATAGTCTTGATTTTTAGCTGACCAGGGTGTCCTGGTTGGTAATACCTGTGTGCATCATAAAACCCCACAAGATTTTAGAAGCATATTTGAATAAATGTAAAATAATAAACTACAAATAGAATGAATGTCCAATCATGTCACCTCTACATGAAACCCTAATAAATAATGTGTGGTGAAATATGTTCAAGATTTTTAATCATACCATCTTTCACTTTTAAGAGAAAAATAGAGTGGCAATAAGTGTTGAATAATTTCATTGTCATGTTATATGATGCAGAATAAGATATCTTTTTAAGGCTCAAAAAGCATTTATATCACTTGTTACTATTTGCATTTGTACCTATGCTTCTCTGAATGCCACACATCCTAATGTCAATTGTGATCTGTCACATATTTCATTTGATCAATGTTCCTATATACACATATTCCATTTTTTTGTTATAAAGAAGAAAAGAAAAAGAAAAGGGGGAAAATTATGTATTTGTATGACATAGCATATGCCAGTACTGTAAATTATGATGAACAGAAATGTCTGTCCTCATCAGGCATGAGTCTTGACAAAAATGCAACAACAACAAAATACCTTGCACTTGGCTTTCTTCCCAAATCCATGACCACCTCTGTGAGTTGATCCAGTGCAAGGGATTTATCTGTCTCTGAAAGCTTCTTCAGGTTATACTTGATGCAGATACCAAAGGCCTCAAGGAACTTCTCCTGGTCATGCATAACAATCTCTCCAAATTCCTTGGATAGTTCATGACTGATCTGACATGGATTGATGGCTTCGTTGGCAAGCTGAAAAGATATTAAATGAATCATGAAAACAACTTTTTATCAATTACTTCTTTTTCTCAAAGTCACTATACAAGCCCAGTCCAGTGCAGGACACAAGACTTGGCCTTGGCATCAAACCCTTTTAGGTCTTTGGGAGGACATGGTTCTGTTAGGAGGGGGCATACAGACCAAGAGGTGTTTCATTGCCTGTTCCTCCACACAGTTGAACACAGTTCCTCCATCTATACTATATCCCCATTTATGCTCGAGGACTATGCATTGTCCTGTTCGAGTATGAAGGAGATTTAGACAGGACCAGGTGGGCCATACCCAACTTGAACCTGATGGTAGAGACTCCCTGGGTCGTAATGAAAGGTGTTTTGGGGTGATTGGTCCACAGTGTCATCCTCTGATTGTAGGTGGAGCCATCAAAGATTTCAATTACTCTCATCTAATAAATCATTGATGACATTTGTCACATTTTATAAAAATGTTACTAAATATCAGATATAATCTATTCACTATTTTTCAACTAAAGTACGACCGTGATGCCAATTGTGAATGACAGCCATTTCGAAAGCAAGAAACTTTCCCAAATTGCAAAAAATGAGCATTGAATCAATTGTGTTATAATTAGTCCATTGCCTTGAAACTTTTGCAAATTTTAGTCAATCTTGAAATTTAAGAACATTTCATGCATGCAAAGTTTCTAGTTTTACAGTACATACCTCATTAGCACAAGTGATTAGAATTGGCTTTCCTGCATCATCATAGTGGAGTACTTTGGCATTGACCATGCAAGACAATTGTTCAGATGTCCCGTCTTCATAAGCCATTGGAGAGGGAGTACTTCCTGATCCTTCTGTGACTTGTCGAGAGGATTCCTCTTGTTTCTTGGTTGTCTGCATCTTCTTGGATCTACGGGATGTGGTCCTGGATCTGCTAGATGGAGATGTGGTCCTGGATCTGCTAGACCCGGATGTGGTCCTGGATCTATCGTCCCTGATGAGAAAGTTAGAATCCACCTCGGGTCCTGAAAGCAGATCACTCTGAAGGTTCTCCTACGAACAATAAAATGGTAAGAGAACAATCAGTGTTTTAAGACAAACCTTCACTGGATAGAAGTGGATTTTAACACAAGGATTGTTACTACTAACCATTAAAACAGGTTATAAGAATACTTTCTCACATCATCAAACATGGATAATTTTCTAGAGATAATGTTGCATCCGTCTAAATTGATGGAAAAATGTAGTACATCCCAGTATAAAAGTTTGATTCTACCAATGAAATATCAATATAGTTCTCATAGGCCACGGTGATTTCCTTTCAGCTTGCTTATAACTTTAATCTGAACTATAAGCATAGGACAGATTGGGGGTAGATTTTGAATTGATCATGATCATTTACAGAATACAGGATATTCTTCTCTCTGAAAATATATTTTTAAAATGTAGTTTTCATTTAAAAAAACAGGAGATAAATATTTAATTAAATTCAAGCATTCATTGATCATAATCATTTACAGAATACAGGATATTCTTCTCTCTGAAAATACATTTTAAAATTGTAGGTTTCATTTCAAAAGAGGACACAAATATTTTATCAAATTCAAGGATTCGAGTCACCTCGGTATAAAAAAGGTCATCGCTGGATTGGGCTAGACCCTTGCTGTCGGGTTCATCTAAATCACCAGAGGTTGAGGACACTCTTTGGAAAGAGACAGGCATCTCAGAAGTGGCCTTTACTTTTGTTGATGATGTAACAGGAACATGCACCTGTGAACCCATTTCAGAGGATGACACGACAGGAGCAGAATTCTTAGAAGCGTTTGGCGATGCTGACGATGTGACAGAACTGGTTATGGATGATGTGATAGCACTACAAGATGGTTCTTCATTTTGGCTGGATGGGAAAGGCTGGTCTTCAACTTCATCATCATATAGTTTGCTTACCTTGGTGATCTGGTATGGTTTCATCAGTCTGTGAGAAATAGGAATTGTAAAACAATTGGATAGCTTGTTAACATCTCTTGATTGCTTCCATTTTAAGTTCAAAAGGAAGAGTGATTCTTCGCTCTTCATAATGTAAAATAATAACTTTTTTTTCCCAGGAAAGCCTCATCAGCACCAATGCTGTTATTCCCAAGGGGCCTCCAAATATCATTACCCCAGCAACTGCCAGGTACCCATTCACACCAGCCTGGAGAGTGGCAAATGTGGATTAATGTCTTGTCAAAAGATGTTAGTGCCGGGCATGATCAGTTTAAGGGACAGGACATAAGACAGTAAATGGGCATTGCTAAAATGGCCTTCAGCTTTATCACTTTGGCATTGTAGCAAGTGAGTAGATGCCTGGGCATGCACATTCTAAAAGCCTCTAAATGAAAAGTAAAAATCTACTTTGTAGAGCGGAAATAAAGTGGTGACAACTTGTATTAAATTGTTTCACATGCAATCTCAATACCAATTTATTCCCTTCATAATTGTTTAAACACTTTCCAGTCTAATCTGCACATAATAAATCCTTAATCATGTGTCAGTACTTACCTTAACATCTTTTGATAGAGATATGGGACCTGCTTCATGGTCCACCTTGCCGTTTCCTTGAGCTTGAGAATCGCTTCCTTACTGTACACCTCACCATAGACAGGAGCCTGGATAGTTCCTATACAAACCTCTACGGTATGACAGGGATCAATGCCAAAGAAATTCAGGGATTCAGGCAGAGCCTGAGAGAACTTGGACCCGGGCCTGATGAGCCTTTCTGCCACCTGCAACATAATAACAATAATTATTTATAAAAATAAATTTTAAAAATGGCTTTGGATTCCATTATTAAAGTGATCCTGAGTAAATGGTGTCTGGCATTTAAATCAAATATACACATGTATTAGGATCATCAATTAATACACCTCTCATTTTATTGCTGGTTAAACTTAAAATTCAAGATCTTCTAATAACGAATTCTACAATCTACATTACAGTATTATAATCTTTCAGTCAGAATCGAGTTAAAGACATCAGTACTTAATCATCAACCAACACCATGTAACCTTTACATCAGATTTCTAGATTTTATATCAACTTACCATCAAGTCAAACACTTTGACCATCTGAATTCCAAGTGCATCACTTATCTCAAAACAATGCTTCCAATCGAAAACAACCTGCAGTTAAAAATGGGATGGATTAGAATTTATACATAAAAGAGGGAGAAAAATAAATTTGGGTGATGAAATTAAACATTGTAAATTCTCCAACTTAAAGCGGTACTGCAGTGCTTGTAGCTACTTGCGCCCTCTTTACAACAAACAATGCCTAAGCGGTACCCTTTGGTCCCCCATAGTCCCCTTTTTCTTATGTTAATTGAGAGCTGATTTGATGAGATAACCACCAGTCAGTGACCATGGAGGGAGGTCTAATCCCTCCTGGCCAAACTAGTGCAGATAGGCTTTAAGATGTGCATATTCAGGCTATATAGTAGAGTCTACTATGAACTATATAATAAGCTGTGATTTGGCTCTTTCTGTTAGTTATGCTTCTTTTAGGTTTTCTATGCTTTGGTTGATCAAGACATAGAAGTTACATGGTAGACAAAAAATGACATTGACCATACATGTATTTCCCAATAGTCCATACCTATTTCATGATTGCAATATCTTTAAAACTGGCAGTGACACATTGATAAATTTGCACCCTTCCCATGAAATGTAATATCTTTCTGGCCATAAGAGTCATCAAAGTGGATACTTCTTGAATCTCTAACTCAAATAAATGTAGCATGTCAAGTGGCAACCAAGGGGAGTAATAGTTTGCCCACAAAAAAGTACAAAAATTCACTCAAAATTACTAAATATACTATATAAACATGAACATTTGTTTCTACATTTACTAATAATACATAGTTGTTCAAAGTGAAAATATTGGTAAGCACCTTCAGGATCGATTTACTGGTCAAGAAATCCAATGCGATCCTTTCCGATGGTCCAAGTATCTGCTGTTGATCACAAGATGAGGGGGTCAAGCAGGTAGCGAAGGTAGGTCCATCCCAGAGACTGGCAATCAACCAACCATCAGATAATGATACAGATAGTATCGGATAGGTCGCCTTGCTTAGAAACTCCTTGATCAATTTACCAAAATAGTTCAAGTCCTGCAGTGTATGAGATGAGACAGTAGATATCATAAAAATCCACCAAAAAAATAAATAATAATAAAAAAAATCGATCAGAGAATACATGTTTATTTACATTAGTCATTCATTATAGTAAATTATGGAGATATTCAAATGGCTGATGTGAATGAATACACTGCTTTTTATATCATTCAATATAGAGACCAAACTTGTTTAACTTGCATTTTATTTTGTAAGGACATTAAACTGAAAACTGTAAACTGAAAAGGTTGGGCTGAACTTGCAACAGTGTTAAAAGTAGCAATGTTTGATCTGCATTGAACAAACATTAGCACAAATGATCAAGTTTAGAAGTGGATTTAGCAGATTTCACAGCATAACAACTCACCTGAAGAATAGTGACTATTTCTTGGTCTGTTGATTCTGAAAGTACAGTATCTGGGTCCAGGTTTCCTGCCTCGCTACTTGTTCCAGAATGAAGAGACTCTGAGTCTGAGATGATCTCACTTCCAAGAGATTCAACTTCGTCTTGCCCTAGTGATGGAGTCTGATCCGAGCTACATGCATGTACATCATTATCTGTATTGGGTGAAGTGGTGTCAGCAGGAGCATCAGAGTTTGGGAAGTCTTCATCATGTTCAGTGTCCTGAATGGAGCTACATACATCAGCATCTGCAGAAACTGTGTCGTGATGAGAAGGGTCAGAGTTTGGGAAGTCTTCAGAATGTTCAGACTTCTGAACAGAGGTACATGTATCATCAGCAGTACATAGTGAATCTGTGTCATGGCCGGGAGTGTCATAGTTTGCCAGGACTTCAGGGTGTTCTATGTTATGAACAGAACTTAATGCATTAGGTGAAGCTGTGTCCTGACGAGAAGGGTCAGAGTTAGCGAAGTCTTCATCATGTTCAGTGTTCTGAACGGAGCTACATACATCATCATCAGTGCTTGGTGAATCTGTGTCTTGATCAGCAGTGTCATAGTTTGACAAGTCTTCATCGTGTTCATTGTTCTGAAGGGAGCTACATACATCATCATCAGTGCATGGTGAACGTGTGTCTTGATCAGGGGTGACAGAGTTTGCCAAGTCTTCATCATGTTCAGAGTTCTGAATGGAGCTACCGGTACATGCATTATCATCTGCATGAGGTGAAGCTGTGTTGTGATGAGAAGGGTCAGAGCTTGACAAGTCTTCATCATGTTCAGTCTTCTGAACAGAGCTACATACACCATCAGGTGAAGCTGTGCCTTGAATAGAAGGGTCAGAGTTTGTGAAGTCTTCAGAATGTTCAGTATTTTGAACAGAGCTACAGACATCATTATCGGTGTGCGATGAACCTGTTCCTTGATCAAGAGGGTCAGAGTTTGCCAAGTCTTCAGGATCTCCAGTGATCTGAATGGAGCTACATACATCATCATCATCAATGCATGTTGAACCTGTGTCTTGATCAGGAGTGACAGAGTTTGACAAGTCTTCATCATGTTCAGTGTTCTGAACGGAGCTACATACACCATCATCAGTGCTTGGTGAACCTGTGTCTTGATCAGGAGTGACAGAGTTTGCCAAGTCTTCATCATGTTCAGATTTCTGAATGGAGCTACCGGTAGATGCATTATCATCTGCATGAGGTGAAGCTGTGTTGTGATGAGAAGGGTCAGAGATAGCGAAGTCTTCACCATGTTCAGTGTTCTGAACGGAGCTACATCTACCATCATCATCATTGCATGTGGAACCTGTGTCTTGATCAGGAGTAACAGAGCTTGACAAGTCTTCATCATGTTCAGTCTTCTGAACAGAGCTACATACACCATCAGGTGAAGCTGTGCCTTGAATAGAAGGGTCAGAGTTTGTGAAGTCTTCAGAATGTTCAGTATTTTGAACAGAGCTACAGACATCATTATCGGTGTGCGATGAACCTGTTCCTTGATCAAGAGGGTCAGAGTTTGCCAAGTCTTCAGGATCTCCAGTGTTCTGAATGGAGCTACATACATCATCATCATCAATGCATGTGGAACCTGTGTCTTGATCAGGAGTGACAGAGTTTGACAAGTCTTCATCATGTTCAGTGTTCTGAACGGAGCTACATACATCATCATCAGTGCATAGTGAACGTGTGTCTTGATCAGAAGTGTCAGAATGTACAGAGTCTTCAAGACATTTAGTGTTTTGAACCGTGCTACATACATCATTATCTGTATGGGATGAACCTGTGTCCCGGTAAGGAGTGTCAGAGTTAGCCAATTCTTCAGGGAGTTCAGTGTTCTGAATGGAGCTTTGTGCCTCATTTTCTGTATGGAGTGAACCTGTGTCATGATCAAGATAGCCAGAGTTTGTCGAGCCTTCAGGATGTTCAGTGTTCTGAATGGAGCTACATACATCATTATCTGTACAGTGTGAACCTTCGTCACGATTGGGAGGGTCAGAGTTTGCTGAGCATTCAGATTGTTCAGTATACTGAACAGAGCTACAGACATCATTATCGGTTTGCGATGAACCCGTTTCTTGATCAAGAGGGTAGGAGTTTGCAGAGTCCTCAAAGGATTCTGTGTACTGATCTGATGAACACTCACTACTACTTATCTCCTGATCGATCTTGGTAATTGGAAGATTCTGCATTTTTATGTTCATAACATCCAGAAGGACGGCATCATCTGACACGACAAAAACTGTGCCATGTCCGATGATAAAGTGGCCTGGATAGGCAGCAATGGTTTCTCTGAGCTTCTGGCTAGTGTTTCCTACTGCTGCTTGCTCACAAGGACCCAGCGTCTTATTAACAACTCTTAAAAGTTGGCTCATTAAAGTGCCATTCCCAGCATTTTCGCCTCTGATGAAGTCTTTGATCTTGGAGACAGCACTTACAAAAGGATTGTCCTGTACTTGAGATGTTCCTTGGGCAACGACTAGCATGTGAGGTGGTATTAGAAGGAAATCATCACGTAGTGACTGCAGAGCAAAAGAGAATGTTTCCATGCCTTCTCCCATTGCGAGTATCTCTGCTCTACTTAGCAGCTGTGGGGTCAAATGGAACAGTTCATTCTTGAGAAGAGCACCTTTATTGTACAGGTGATCTTTGAGTTTATGTTGAGCTGACTGCATATGGCAAAGAATCAATGAGTATGTGATTTGGGGGTTGTCTTTCAAGAACACTTTACCATCTTCAACTTGGAAAGCTTCGGGGAAACTCTCCAGCGTTTTCTCAAATTTACTCTGATTCATGCCCACTTTCTGCATGGCAAGTGGAGCAGATGACGATTTACATGATTTCCACACATCCTCTAAAGAACTATTTCCAATTTCTGAAAGACAGGCAACGACGTCTTGCAAACCTTCCAGCAAGAAATACTGATGCATCTTCACTTTCGCTTCACAGACTCGTTGCTTCTGCTCACAAATCCTAACAGAAACCCTATCCTCGCCTGAAAATTCAAGAATCGTTGTGATCTCCCAGAACATGTTCCTCTGAGGAAGGCCCAGTGATTTTTGAATTTCTTGCATGATATGGCCCAACTTTCCAGTCCTGTCTTTCTGCAGAACATCCTGCATTTGTTTGATACTGTCAATGTAACAATTGGAAAGAGATACTGTCTGCTTGTGCACCTTGAGAGTTGGAGGAGGATTTTCCATTATGGCCTTCTTTACAAGATCCCTGGTCTCCTCAGTAATGGATAAAGTTTGCAAGAAGGAATCCATTTCTTCACTGGAACACCTGAATGTCTCCTTGGTGCGTAGGAAATCTTCAAAGGCTGACAGGCAGTCTGCGAAATCCATGGTGGGTGATGGAAGTCCTACGAACTTCACTTGATACTTTTCAGCTTACACATCAGATCTGTGAATCAAATGAATATTGCATAATTATAACATTAATATCATGATATGAACTTTGTTAGCATGCCTTATGTTCATTTTTGCGTTTCGACTGTTTCCATAAATAAATACACAGCATCATATTTAGCAAGCTAAACAGCTCATCACTTTTGCCAGCCAAAATATAATGTAACTTCTTCAATGTCCTCCTATTTAATTGTTCCACTTGCACCAAATATGTACAAAGCCTATACAGTCTACATAATCGTAGATAGACTCGATATAGACTTGAAATCCTTGGTTCACAAAAAAGTTTAATGTAAGGTATAAACATCTGATAAGAATACCAAATCAAGACTTCTGCCCCTAATTCCTAGGCTTAAAGAGTGGTGAAGTGTGACGTCATCAAAAAAAAAATCAATTTTTAGAATTTCTCAATTTTTTCTTTATTTTCCGAAAGAGCATCAAAAATAATGTCCAAATGTTGAAAACTATGTCAAGTATTGGCTGAGATATGACCATCTGAATAAATGGGAACTCAGTGTTATATGCTCTGGCTCCTAGGAGCCAGAGCATATAACATTGAGTTCCCATAGGACATATATTTATTCAGATGGTCATATCTCAGCCAATACTTAACATATTCGATTTTCGACATTTGGACATTATTTTTGACGCTCTATCGGAAAATGAAGAAAAAATTGAGAAATTCTAAAAATTGATTTTAATGACGTCACAGCTTCGGTACTCTATAGATCTAGTCTTTCATGCCATGTGTATAACCAGATCAAAGACGGACGACATCGTCATGGAGGTAGCCAAGAAAATCAATGTTGATATGCAACATGCTGAAATAGACATCAGTCATCGAGTTGGGATTCGCGATTCTAACGCGAAAAGGGGAGAGCGACCAATCATTGTGAAATTGACATCACACCGTAAACGCCAGGAACTTCTGAGAAATCGACGAAAACTGATATCGACAGGTATCACCATACAAGAGGGTCTTACCGCAAGGAGTCGCGCTCTACTTCAAGAAGCATACAAAAAATACAAGGAACAGCGGGTTTCTGCGGCATGGTCTTCGGAGGGAAGGATATTTGTCGCGGTACCAACAACAAACGGGAGCAAAGCTGCCAAGAAGCTGATCACCTGTCGTGAAGACCTCAGGGCTCTGTGATTCCTAATTTCAGCATACATGCTGTAAGTACTGCTGTGAAGAAATTATACCGTATGGAACATTGTGGACGGAAATAAATAATTACGTCAAGTTGTGAAAACTTTTAAAACTTCCAGATGGGTCGATTTTTGGATTTGATATTTTTTATTCATCTCTTGTATTTTAGAATTTGTTTTTTGTTTTTTCATAAGTTGTGTTCGTACTTGTACTTGTCATTATGTCATCTCAACTACCTATTTTTAATTTTTGATTTGAAAGACTTACTAGAATCATGCAATGATAGTGCCATTGATAACTTCGGCACAGACCTAATAAACAATATAATAGACAAAGAAACAGAGTATTTTTTACCTGATCAACTTAATAACGAAATTTTGTTATTGGATGAAGAATACATATCCTTAATGCATATTAATTGCCGCAGTCTCAACAAAAACTTTGATACTATGTCTGAGTTTCTAGATTTGCTAAAGTGTAAAGTTGATTTTATTCTGCTCAGCGAAACATGGCTTCCGAAAGGTCCAGATTGTCTATTGTCACTTGCTGGCTACGAATATTATGGCAAAGGGCGACTATCCCGTGGAGGTGGTGTTGGAATATTTGCTAAAACCTCATTTCATATTAAGGAGAGAACTGATCTGTCTGTATTTAATGAAAATATTGAATCTTACTTCATTGAGGTAATCCACAGGAATAGTAAAAACTTGACAATTGCAGTAATTTATAGACCTCCTTCTCAAAGCTGTGTTGACTTTATAACAGATCTTAACAATATTCTAGAGAAAGTTGATCGCGAAAATAAAACATGCTACTTTTTAGGCGACTTCAATCTAAACTTATTGGATGTACACTCTGACCAACGTCAACTCTTTCTTGGAAATGGTTTTTTCTCACTCTTATGCCCCTCTCATAACAAAGGAAACAAGAATAGTTCAGTCAAGTTCAACTCTTATTGACAATATTTTTGTCAATGACACAAGTCTAGTGTTATAAAGCGGTATTTTACTGGCAGACATTTCAGACCACCTTCCAATTTTTGTATTCAATCGGTCAAAACATAACGAAAGGCTTAAGCGAGATCAATGCAATAAAACTTATTCAAGAGACATGTCTCGCTCAAACTTTGATAAATTTAGGGTTGCCCTGACTGAACATTCTTGGGAATATGTGATGCAAGAAGAGTCATGTGATAGAGCTTATGAAGTATTTCTCAGTAAATTTAATATCATACATAATTCTTGTTTTCCTTTGAAAGAAAAGCGTTGCCGAAAAAGGGAATCGAAACCATGGATTACAAAAGCAATTTTGAAATCATGTAAGAAAAAGATAAAGCTATACAAAAAGTATTTGAAGAACCCTTCTGTGTACAGAAAAAAAGTATACTGACAGTATCGAAATACTTTAACTTCAATTATTCGAAGGTCAAAAGAATCTTACTATGCAAAGCAATTTGAAGAAAGTAATTGCAGCAAACGAACCTGGAATATTATCAACAACATGTTGAATAGGGGAATCAAAAGAAAGAACCAAGACTGTTTTCGTGATGAAAATAATAAGAAACTTACAGATCCTGTTGACATCGCAAACAAATTCAATGAATATTTCATAAGCATTGGGACAATGTTTACAGATATAAGTAATATTGACATGCTGAAGTGTAGGTCTTATATGAATGGTCAATATCAACAGTCAATGTTTCTGAAACCAATAGAAGGTCATGAAATTATAGATATAGTGAAGGCATTGAAAATAGGTAAAAGTCCTGGTCATGATAATATAACTGTTTCTGTCATTAAAGAATCAATCCATCTCATTCTTGCTCCACTTGTACACATTTTTAACCTTTCCCTCTCCACTGGTAAATTCCCTCACAGTATGAAGCTAGCAAGGGTGACTCCAATCTATAAGAAAGGCTCTCTCGATCAGTTTTGTAATTATAGACCGGTGTCACTCTTGCCCATTTTCTCCAAAATCTTGGAAAGATTATTTTACTCTCGATTATTGTCTTACATTGAGAAACGAGGGATTCTGTCAAATTTTCAATATGGCTTCAGATCTGGTCATTCAACTATATTGGCCTTGACATATTTTTTGGACCAAATACTTACTTCCCTTGATGATAGCAAACATTCACTTTGTTTGTCATTGGATATTTCAAAGGCTTTTGACTCAATTAATCATCAAGCCTTATTATCCAAATTGGAGTACTATGGTTGGAGGGGTCTGCCATTACAGTGGATAAAGGATTATTTAAAGGAAAGAAAACAATATGTTGTTTATGATAATGCAACTTCATTTGAAAAAGAACTTGTATGCGGAGTGCCCCAAGGGTCAATAATCGGGCCACTGTTGTTTATTCTATATATAAACGATTTGCCAAATGTTTCCTCAACTTTGTCATACATTATTTTTGCAGACGATACTAATGTCTCTTTAAGCAAGAAGAAACTAGATACTCTTGTCCATAATATGAATAAAGAAATACAAAAGGTTAATTTTTGGTACAAAGTGAATGGGTTAAGGATAAACATTGAGAAAACAAATTTTATGCATTTTGCACCATTGAATAAACAATATGATAAGAACTTACTTACTCTTAAGTTTGTTGATTCACTAGAGCCCTTAAAGCAAGTGCATAGTGCCCGCTTCTTAGGAGTTAATATTGATGACAAGTTATCATGGTCTTTACATATTAATGATATGGCATTGAAGATCTCGAGAATTACTGGAGTTATGTCAAAACTGAAATTTGTATTACCGTCAAAAGTACTGCTTTTACTATACAATTCATTAATTCTACCCCATTTACAATATGGGAATATGCTATGGATAAATGAATCAAATACCTTGTTAAATAGTTTACATTTGTTGCAAAAACGTGTAATACGCATAGTTGCCAAGTCTCATTATTTGGCCCATACCAACAATATCTTTAAACAATTAAGGGTTTTGACTGTATATGAATTAGGTAGATTACAACTGGGAGAATTTATGTACAGGTCTGAAAAGGGACTATTACCAAACTCTCTTCAAAACTGGTTTAGATGCAACAATGATGTACATTGTTATAACACCCGAAACTCCAAGAATTTGCATAGCATTTATTACAGAACTGCTACTGGCCAAAGAAGTGTAAAGTACCAGGGTTACCTTACATGGTCTGCTTTAGATGACAGTCTCAAACAATCCGCATCATAAAAACAATTTAAATTTAAATATAAAAAATACCTCTGCAATTCTAAATAGTCATATCAATCTAAAAAAATTATTATTATTATGTTTCAAATCGCAATTATGTTTTCATCAGGTCAATTTAATCTAATTATAAAACCAGACATGTGAAGGGAGAGTCCACCCTGAGGATGAGTTTACTACGCCTTTACTTGGCCACACACATTCTCAGGGTGGACTTCCCCTTCATTGCTACCGGGGCTAGACTCAATAAGCTTCGCTTTTTCTAGCCCCATCTACATTACTCACCTTTTTATGTTTTAATGTTGATGTTTGTTAACTGATGTAGATTTTCATTGTTCTTTTATGCGTATCTGTTTTTCATTTGCTCTATGTGTCAAATGTATAAAATGTATTTTCTTAATTACCTTGTATTAGGGAGGCCAATGCCCGGGCGTAAGGCTTCTACGCCTACGATTTGTGCGCTCGTCGTCCAAGTCAGAAAATTACCAGAAGAAAACAAAAGGAAAAAAAAGAAGAAAAAAAATATATATGGAATAAAATATATAACAAATACACAATTGTACACTTCACAACATACCTATAATCACGAATCTGTAACAGTCTTTCACCATTTGTTGACGATCTTGCAGATTTTGACGTATTTCCATCCAATAATTGTTTTAGCAGACGAACTTAGCGCGCACACAACAGCAACGAGAGGGCGCAGAGGTTAGCTCACTAAAAACCTTCTCAATGACTGAAGGTAGAGCCTAAAAATATGGAACCAATTTAATATCAAAGAACTTTTGATAGAGATTAACATATCAGATGTGCACAAATGTCACTTTTAACAACTAGAAAATATAACGAAAAAAGATTATATCTTTTTAATTGCAGATTTTTACAAACTGCACATTCGAAGGTAGATAGAGTACGATGTTTTTGTCAATCTTGCGTTGGTTTGAGCCCCATAGCTAGAGCCATCTCAAATTGAGAAGGAAAATTGTGAACAGAGACCTCATTGTTTCAGCCCCAAATAGAAGTCTTGCGACATCATAATATGAATATTTATGAGCTCCGGTCTCATCGCGCGCAAAACAAATTTGACGTAGTCTCACACATGGTACCTTTTTCTCAGCACTAGACACCAGTGTCGTGCAGTAATGTATGAGAAGTGTAAAAAAAGACATTTCAGTAAAAAAAAAAAAGAAGTCTACGTGAGCAGTCTATACTCCAATTGAGAAGTGTAATGAATGCCATGATTTGAGCGTGTGTGTTTTAGTGTATGATATCATCATATGGTTAGTGAGAGAGAGAGAGAGAGAGAGGGAGAGAAATATCTCCGTAAGTAGTACACGTCTAGTCTATCAATGCGTGCAGTCATGTTTGATTCCGTATTGTGATCGCTGCATGCAAGTGCAAGTTGGATTTATCGATCGATGATAATGCAGTGTCAGATCTTTACTCATGAGGAAATAGTAATTGGAATACATCGCAAAACTAAGGTAGGCCTATTTATTTATTTCAATTACTTTCTTAATTTACAATGAGTGGCTTTCGAGCTTTCTCTCCATTGACCCTCCATGCCATGGCTAGCATGGCTCGATCGCGGCTTGCATGCAATTACCGTACCTGGCCTGTAGTACTGTGTCGGTGTGTGCGACTAATTCAAGGCTAGCCGGTGATGCATGAATGTACTTTCGTGCGAAGTTTTGAACTTGTTGTCCGGGCAATGACCATGATGACACGCCCATTCCCTCGGGCCTGTCTAATTCTCAACGTAATTGAAATTGATCGTTTCACGGCTCTTACGTACGGCCAGGCGTAGAAGGAGCCTCATAGGAACTAGCTGGATATCTCCTATTTTATGGAACTTCTGGAGTCGGCAGATGGGTGAGTTTTCTTAGTGAAAGAAAATGCTTTCTTTTAATGTTTGTTTTATTATAAACAAATTAGTAATTAAAAAGTTAGATTTGGGCATTGGCCTCCCTAGATCTACTTGTATCTTCTGGTTTTTAATGTGGAAAATAAATGAAATGAAATGAAATGAAATGAAATGAAAGAGCATGGCACGGCAATCTCACAAATGTTTGTACTAGCTAAATTGATAAATATACCCACATATTTCATGTAATCAATTACAATGGCATGCTATGGCCAGGACCATGATGTAGATGGACTATGCGGCTTATGCCTGTACTCTGTAGTCTGTACCCGGCCTGTACATGTCATGTGTACCTTCGGCTTAGCTTCGCGCAGCGCGCATTCGCTTTTCAAAAGTTACATGCAATTGATGCAAGAACTAAGAGTCCATTTAATCTACCCCAACTTGAGATCTAACGTTAGTTAGTCGATCTTTTCAGTGCAAAATGTGTTGGTATACTTACAAGTGATCTCGATGAATTTCACCAACTCACTAAAACAGCTCCAGAGATGACGAAATGTCATTCGGTGCGTGCGTGGGTATTTGGCACGTTCGACGCCAGACAAAATACCACAACGTACATAACAGTAAATGTACCATACGTATTCAAGCTGCGCGCGCCCAAACCAGCCAGAGTCACGGGAAATCCAACATCTGTTTTATTGGGGAATACCCGGGCGAGTCGATTTGTTTTATAGGTATATTTTATTTCAAGAATATATATTTTTGTCATTTATTTTGGACTGAAATTGTTATTTAGTAAAAAAAAAACTTGTTTTCAGTTTTTAAAATACTTTAATATTACAATTTGGTACCCATTTATTTAAAAGAGATTGATAAAAATAACAATGCTTGAGATAAATATCCCTAATATCACCGTGTTTTTCATAATGGTACGACCACTTCTTCAGACGCAACCTGCGAAAACCAGAGAATCAAAGTTCAACATCATCATCAACATCAACAGTATATATACGGAAGAAAACGTAGTCCTGTTGCTGTTGGTCTTCCGGTCGCTTCTTCTTCTTCAAGCAGGGACTTCAAGTGTAGAAAAGCCTCTGATTAGAGTCTGAAGTTGCCTGAATGTGACATGACATGTAGAATATTACTAGACCTATAGAGGTCTATGAGAGGTTCAAGGGAATTCAGATGGAAGTAACAAAGCTACTGCACTCATCGCGATCGCTTAGAAGCGTGAGTTTCACCTAAAGCTGCAAGTTCTCAACGGGTGCAGGTGTTCCGCTGAGAGTCTGGCTCCACTGATCGCTTACATATTACAGAGATGGAAGTACATCATGAACATACGGTCAGTCAATTTTATTTAAGAATTCCCCATACCAGACGGTTATTTCTAATATATTTCTTGGTTTTTATCTAGTAGTAGTACAGGGCTAGCTTGGAATGTTATGCTTCCTAGGAGTAAATAATTTCAATTTGTGAAGAAATTTGTGGCTTGCACTTACTACTTGCTATAGTAAGGCAGTAAATAACTGAATAAAGATTACATACTCGATCTTCAGATCTTCAGATCTTGTAATTAAAAACATGTCAGAAAATGTCTTGGAACCAGCAGGATTTTAACTAGACCAAAAGCTTCAGTCTCTCTTTATCGTCGGTTGTTCCACTGAAATATGTCTGGCTACCCTAGACCTTCGATTGGGAATGTCAACAAATGTCAGTTTTACTAAAGAAATGACCCATATCAGAGGGTTATTTCTGTCTAGATTTTAACCTACTGTAAGACTTAAAATGAGACTCCTTGTATACCTAGATTTGTTGAAATTTAATACTACCGGTATTTGTTTCTCTAGTCTCTTCTCCCTATACACATTCATTTCACATCATTTGATTATCAGTTACATATATTCATTAGTTTTACTTCAACTACTCAACCCAATTTCTTCTTGCATGCATCTCCTCACTGCATACCAGAGTCTTCCATCTCATCTGGTATATGTTCCTTTGTTCTCTTCTCATTCAGTATTCATGGTCTTGTGTGAATGCATTTGGCATTTCCACTTCTTACTTTCCCTTGGTTCTCTTTTCCTTTTCCTTTGGAATATTCAGTCTTAACCTATTTCAGAATTAAAGAATCACATACAGGAAATACATGTAAGGATGTAATCAGTGACTATATGGTACATTTACACCTTGATTTCAGGCCGCGGCAGATGGTGTAGAAGAGACGGGTAGTTCCTTCACTTGGGAGAGCCAATTTCTTAGCAGAGTGAATGCACATCAAACTCATCAAGGAATGCCCTCACTAATGGAAGGAGCTACATCAATACCCACAGAGTGTGCAGTGACCATTGTAAAGGTAATAATGCAGCTTGATGATACAGAATATATTATATACTGTACCGGTACCATGATCTGTATATGTTGTATTATTATTATCATGATAATATTAATGATGATGAATATATTAATGATATTGATAATATCAATGCTAGAAAGTAGAAAATGTATTGAGATAATATTTTTTGTTTTGTGTGTGTGTGTGTGTGTTTTATTAAAGCAAACCATAAGAATCATATATTTACACAATTTGATGTATTGAGATAATATTGATAATGAAAGTATGGTGGCCCTGAAGGGACATCGCGAATAGACTAAATCGTGAAAAATATGCGATAAAATTCACGATATCGTCAATTTTATCGCATATTTTTCACGAAGAAATTCACGAAATTGACGATATCGTGAACTTTATCGTGAACTTTTCACGATGAAAATGACGATATCGTGAATTTTATCGTGAAAAGTTCACGATATAAAGTTCACGATATCGTCAATTTTATCGTGTACTCTATCGTGTACTCTATCGTGTACTCTCCTGACGGGCGCTTCGTAAACAAAACCAGCCCTAGCTGGGGGAGACAGAGAGAAGGAAAAAAGGGAAAGGGAAAGAGAAGATAAAAGGAAAGAAAGAATAATAAGAAGAAAAGAGGGAAACGGGGGGGGGGGGGGGGGGGGGGGGGGGGGGCGAAGGGCTCTTGCCTCCTCCTCACTCCCCCCCCCCCCCCCCCCCGCCAAAAAATAAATAAGGAGAGAGAGAAGGGAAAGGGAAAGGGAAAGAAAATATAAAAGGAAAGAAAGAAGAGGAAGAAGGAAAGAGGGAAACGGGGGAAGGGCGAAAGGCTCTTACCTCCCCCCCCCCCCCCCCCCCCAAAAAAATAAATAAGAGAGAGAGAGAGAGAGAGAGAAGGGAAAGGGAAAGAAAGAAGAGGAATAAGAGGGAAACAGGGGAAGGGCGAAGGGCTCTTGCCTCCTTCCCCCCCCCCCCCACCCCCGCCAAAAATAAATAAGAGAGAGAAGGGAAAGGGAAAGAAAATATAAAAGGAAAGAAAGAAGAGGAATAAGAAGGAAAGAGGGAAACGGGGGAAGGGCGAAGGGCTCTTGCCTCCTCCCTCCCCACCCCCCGCCAAAAAAATAAATAAGAGATAGAGAGAGAAGGGAAAGGGAAAGGGAAAGAGAAGATAAAAGGAAAGAAAGAAGAGGAAGAAGAAGAAGAAAAGAGGGAAACGGGAGCGAAGGGCTCTTGCATCCCCCCGCCCAAAAAATAAATAAGAGAGAGAGAGAGAGAAGGGAAAGGGAAAGAGAATAAAAAAGGAAAGGAAGAAGAATAAGAAGAAAAGAGGGGCTCTTGCCTCCTCCCCCCTCCCGCGCCAACAAATAAATAGGAGAGAGAGAGAGAGATAGAGAGAAGGGAAAGGGAAAGGGAAAGAAAATATAAAAGGAAAGAAAGAAGAAGAAGACGGAAAGAGGGAAACGGGGGAAGGGCGAAAGGCTCTTACCTCCCCCTCCCCCCTCCCGCCATAAAGGGAAAGAGAAGGGAGAGGGAAAGAAAATATAAAAGGAAAGAAAGAAGAGGAAAAAGAATAAGAAAAGAGGGAAACAGGGGCGAAGGGCTCTTGTCTCCTTTCTTTTCTTTCTTTTCCTTTCTTTCCTATTCTCCCTCTTTTTCGTTTTTCTCTTTCTTTCTTCTCTTTCCCTTTCCTTCTCTCTCTCTCTCTCTTATTTATTTTTTGGCGGGGGGCGGGGGGACGAGGCAAAAGCCCTTTGCCCCCGTTTCCCTCTTTTCTTCTTCTTCCTCTTCTTTCTTTCCTTTTATCTTCTCTTTCCCTTTCCCTTTCCCTTCTCTCTCTCTCTCTCTCTGATTTATTTTTTGGCGGGGGGGGGGGGGAGGGGGGGGCAAGAGTCCTTCGCCCTTCCCCCGTTTTCCTCTTTTCTTCTTCTTCCTCTTCTTTCTTTCCTTTTATCTTCTCTTTCCCTTTCCCTTTCCCTTCTCTCTCTCTCTCTGATTTATTTTTTGGCGGGGAGGGGGGGGGGGGGGAGTGAGGAGGAGGCAAGAGCCCTTCGCCCCCCCCCCGTTATTATTATTATTCTTTCTTTCCTTTTATCTTCTCTTTTTCCCTTTCCCTTTTTTCCTTCTCTCTGTCTCCCCCAGCTAGGGTTGGTTTTGACTACGAAGCGCCCGTCAGGAGAGTACACGATAGAGTACACGATAGAGTACACGATAAAATTCACGATATCGTCAATTTCATCGTGAAAAGTTCACGATAAAGTTCACGATATCGTCAATTTCGTGAATTTCTTCGTGAAAAATATGCGATAAAATTGACGATATCGTGAATTTTATCGCATATTTTTCACGATTTAGTCTATTCGCGATGTCCCTTCAGGGCCACCATATGAAAGTGCTAATTTCTGTAACATATAACATTTTATGTGTGCGATTATCTTTAATAGATAATTAGATATAGAAAGGAAAAAAATACCCCCTATAATGTGTCAGTTTGACTGATAAATGGATGTATTCAGTTATGCGTGTAATACTTGTTGCATAAGATATTGTGGTTATTTGGTTAACTGATTCGTATCAATCTTCATGCTTTTATTATTTTCCAGGAGACTGGGGTCTTTGAGAAGCTTCTGATGGAGAAACTGTCAGTTTACATGTGTCCAATCATAGGCATCTCCAGCTTGAATGGATGGCTTCTTGTTCACTTCTGGGAAGGAGATTCCTATGCTGTAGATCTAGGTGCACTCTCACCAGGGTCTAAACAGGGCAAGGCTCATCCTGGAGCTAAGATCGCTGGTGGAACTCCAGATAACATTCACAAGTGGGCCATCATTCACTCTGTCGGAAGGTTGCTCAGTGATGACTCCATTTTGAAGGTGATTACAGTAATTGCTACCTTATCAGAGTGAGGCTTTCTAGACTTGATGAAAAATGATGGAAGTCATGATATGATAGGCTAATGTAAAAACGTTCTTTTGGGCTTTGACTTTGTTTGAGTCCTAGGTTAACTGATAATGAATTGATTTTAATAAACTGATCTTCCATACAAGTAGCCAAAGTGTTTATCATAAATATAAGTAAATTTAGGTAATAAAAAAAGGTACAAAGCCATTCTTATCTATTTTAGATGTGAATTGGTCAAGTCGTCAACTGTCTAGTTTAGCTATGCTGAGTGATCATACGTTACATATATTTGATTATATACCTCACTTAAGAAATCCAGCCATCTGATTGGTTGAAATTGCATTCATAAACTTTAACTATTCCTGTAAAATTCCCGGTA